GAATTTAACCAAGCTTTAGCTTTATCTCTTAATGAAAAAGGAAAAACTTTAAGCCTAACAACATTATTAGACACTCAATCATATTTAAAAGTAGCACATATTTCAAGAAAACTAGCAAGATGTAAGTTAGGATCTTCAGTAGGTGTTCCTCTAAATTGATTGTTTTGTCCCATTTGGATAATAGTAGGTTTAAGCTCAAATGAATTAGCAGCAGTATCATAATTCTGAATAGTTAAGTGAAGTTCATCTGCTGTCGGATTAGCATAATCTTTTAACTGTCTTTCTTGATTTTCATTTATTTGATTTTCTAAGTTATTCGCCATTTTGTTCAAATGTTTAATTTATTTTTTTTTTGAATTTTTCTCATAGCACATTCTAATCTGAATCCCAAGGTACTAAATCTTCAGATCTAATATATCGCATAAACAAATATAATATGCAAAGCAAAATTCTTTAAAATACTTTTAAATATATATTGTTATATATTTTTTTGATTGTTGATTATATATATAATCGTTATCTTCCCCGACAACGACGCCAAAAACTTGATCCCGAAAATATAATTGTGTAAAATTTATAAAGTTGACTTCGCTTTATAACGATGCCAAAAACTTGATGTGGTATTTTATGAATAATAATGTTAAGCACTTAATTTTGAGATTCTACACAAGTATACATATCGTTATCAAGTAATATAAGACTTCCAATTTAAGTCCTAAATATCAATCTCACAACGAATGTTTAAATTTGAAATGATAAATTAATTAGGAAATTCACAAAAATCAAACAAAATTACTGTCACTAATCTCAAATGTGTGAGATACTATCTGAACTAAATTATTAACCAATGAAAAAATTTAAATGCAAAGTTCAAAATAGTAACTACTAAACTATGTTTATGTAATGAAGTATTGTAATATAAAAACACATCTTTTCCACTACAATAAGTTTCTGGTGAAATGGGATAAAATAATTAGTTTTTATTTGTATTGTGCCAAATAGGAGCAATTTTAGTTCTCTACCCTGATTCAGTGTTATAAAAAATCATTGGCTAATCTTAAGTTTAGTCCCTAAATCTGTGGCTAGGCTAGGAGGATACTGACTCCCACTTCAGAGCTCCCGCTTCCCTTCCCCTGAAGGCTAACTCTCACTTTAGATCTTAAACACTAAGACCAAATTGGGGATTTTAGTATGTCACCCTAGATTCTCCAATTCTTTACTTTGTAATATATAGTTCATTATTTATTTGCATCCAATTCCATGAACAAGAAAACTCCTTCATGGAATCTAATGTGATTCTCACTTTGTTGTGAAACTCATTCTCCAATTCCAGGATAGTATGTTTCACAACAGATGTTAACATTTCAATTGGCCAATTCAAAAAATAAAATAAGAATGGAGTGAAAAAATCATCACTATTATTTAACATTTAAATGACAAATCCAAATTATCTCTCCATTTCACCATATCACATTGAAGGGAGAAAGACAAAGAAGACTACTCATAATTCATGAGGAAGATATGAAAAAACACAGATTATATATGTATAAACAAGTTTGCAAAACAAAGAAATTAAAGAACACAACTTATCTTAAAATCATCCTCAAGGAAATCTCTTGAAGTTCCCTTAAAGCACTTTCTCTCTTTACAAGAAATGTAGGTAGAAGAAATGTCTCACTTCTCTCCCTCTCCAACACTCTTAGAGAAGAATTCACACTTAAAAGTCACCACGAAAACTCAACTATATAAAAATAATAACTAAATAATGGTGTGAAATGGTGTGGAATGTGTGGTTGAAGGTTGTGAAGTGGTGTGAATGAAGTCGAAGGGGGCGAAGAGCTAGCAGAGGAGTGAGAAGAGGTCATTTTCTGATCAATTTCGGCTCTAAATAGAAACTAAGGTTGGTTCTCCAATAGGTGCATCCAAAAACTCTTCAAAAAGCGTCTAAATTCGTCGAATCTTCTAGAAACAGGGTCTACACCAACACTGACACCGTCGGTGCCCATTCTGGAGCCGTCGACGCCCATTCTGACACCGTCGGCGCCAATGTTCATTTAATTAAATCCATGTTCTCTGTCAAACGGCGCCGAACAATTCTTCAAAAATTCTATTTTGACTCCAAATTCCATCATTTTTGCTTCATTTTTGCTCCAAGTCCTATAAATCAAAAACCTGCGATAAAACATGAAAAATACTTCCTTTAAAGTGCAATATCATAAAAAATGAGCATAAAATATGGGTCAAAAATGTATATATTTTTGGTGTATCAGTGAGCTGCATTAGTGGGGAAGAATAAAGAGAGCCAAAGAGTGCTCAAAGCCATAGGTAAACTCTAAAGTTTAGGGAAAGTCCTTTTTACCTAGGGTTTCTATAGTGCTGCAATAAGGTAATCTGGTTTCTATCTCTCGCTCTCTCTACTGTTTTTATCTATCTATCTTTCTTTCTCATGTTCAATGATTGCACCTTGTGTGTTTGTTCCTTTGGCTGGGTATGGCAGAGGGAGTACTGAGCAACATTAGGTGGTTATAAGGTAAGCCAATGAAGGCCTACCGACTATCCAATTATTTGAGGAAGGAAATGGATGTTGCCTAGGTTTTTTCCTTTAGTTGGGTTCATGTTAAATGGGTTTGGACTACCTTAGAGCTGGGTTTTGATCACTTTAGTGACGGGTTTGGGTTAAACAATAACTAGGACTTTTGTGTTAATTAAGGGGTTGAATTTTGAGTATTATTTATTAACTTTAGGTTTTGATTTTATTAGGTTGGTTAAGTTTTGATTAAGAGTTTAATTAATTTTGGTTTTTTTTGAGTTAAGGTTTAAGTGTTTAAATGGATTTGAATTTGAGTTATATTATGTTTGGGTTTAATTAATTAATCAAATTTCTTTTAGGTTTGTGTAGATTTTATGTTTTGGTTCATATTTGGGTTTAGGTTTTAGTTGTTTTTAGTTTAGGCTTACTTTTAAATTTTATTTTTTTAGTCTATTTTAGTATATTATAGTTTTAGGTTTGTTTTGCTTTTAAGTAGGATACATTTAAGATATTGGTTTTGTAAGCTATTATAAGAATTCATTCAATTTTAAATTTTAATAATCTTAGACATCTATTTCAGGATTTAAATTCAAGTTTAGCTAAAGTAAATTTATTTTAATCTTTTGTTGAATTTTATTTCATGTTTATAAAACTTTTGGTTTTAATTTGATTGATTTTCTCTTTAATTTAAACTTGGTTCATGGAACATGTGAGATTACTCAATTATTAGTTGTTAATAACCTAGAAAATGATGGTCTCAATTTTAGTGATCATGAGTTAAGGATCAAATTAAGTTTATTTTGAACTAAGAAGAGAAAAGACATTGGTTTGGTTCTAAGTTGGGTCCAACCATTTACTAATTCTCTAGGGTAGTAAATTAAAAAAAAATTAAAGGCTAGATCCTATGGTCTAAAGATGAATTGGGAAAGAAGAGGTATAGAACTCATAGAACAATGGGGTCGTTTACTAGTTTTCTCCTGAAGTATCACTTCCCTTGCATGGAATATTAATAATATTTTAAAATTAATTATAAACTATATCGAAAAGTAAAATAATTTGAATATATATTGTAAGCTTGATCATTATTTTTTATCATTAAGTTTTTTGTTTATTAAATTCACCACATAAATTGCTTGCTTCATTGTAACCTTTTGTCATATAGCGGTGCAATGCTCAACCCTTATTTTGGAAACATGCTTTAATTTCTCATTTGAGTGATAAAACAAATATATCATTCAGATTTACTATCTCGGCAAAGGGCTCCATAATAGAATATATTTTACTAATACCATTGAGTGCAAAAAATACTCGTTCTTTAATTAATACATCTTAAGACATTTTTAATAAAATTATAAGTTATATGATAACATTCAATATTTTAGTCTTTATGAATGTGAAGAGTAATAAGTCTATTAATTTTGGGAGCATTTTTAATATAACTATTATATAATTTCATTATAGTTTTTTAGGAAGTGCAAAAGTTCTAAAAATTTTTCTTGATTTTTAATATTTTTAGATTTATTCATGACCACAAAAAATTAAAAAAAACCTAAGTTTGGATGTAAAATAAGCATTGATAATCAATACTAGAGGGTAAACTTGCTTGATGATCTTCTTTAAACTTGATCAGAAGCTCTTTCATAAACAAACGTGTTCTTGATGCATAAAGCCTTTGCATTTTCTTAACATAAGTTAGGAGCATTTTTTTCCCAAACTTCAACATCTTAGTGTCAAAACTATCATCATTTGTTCTCTTTCGTGGCATTATATTCCAACTAGCCTTTATATATTGGGCTGCAAACCATTAAATATAACATTTGCATCACCTAAATTTAAAAAATAAGCACCCTATTTATGACTCATTTGATATATCCATAATCTTCTGTCGCGCTGTAACCCACAGAAATTTTCTGTCATCTTCCAAAAAAAATGCATCAGTTTTATGTCACAATTAACTGGCTATTTCTATGGTTTAACAAAACGTTGCAATAGTTGACCCGCTTCACAAACTAATTGCAACTTCTGTGTTCAAAATTTATCTGCTGCAAATAAATAGCAATGCTGGTGTACTTTGAAGATCCAAATATTATGTTTTTTAGCTCACGAGCTTTTTTTGTGGCTGATTTCTACGGTTCCAGAGGCAACACAGAAGTTTCAGTTTAGTTCTCCTACCAAATTTCGTCTGAAGTTCATAACATTTTCTACAGAATTCAATTAAAAATTTGTAGCAATTGCCAGAATTCAACTGAATTTAACAACCTTATACTAAGAACAGTTGAATAGAAAGAACAGAGTGATTGAAAAAAACATAAAAAAATAAGCTTTTGATGAGAAATTTAATATTTTTTAATAGTTTTCCTGAACATAATGCAGTAAAAATACTTGTTAATATTCAAAATTGCTGATATTTCCAACTCTACCATGTGCTTTCACAACTTCACACGTTCTTAAATCTTCTGAATTTAAGTCAATACTTAACACGAAGTAACCTTTCTCATTATTCTGAATTTTCTTTTGTGACCTCAGAGAAACCACTTTAACCCATAGTTTCATTTAGATTAATTGATTGATGCACATTAACAACTTTAATATTACAACAGAAACCAAAATTTTCTGCTTTTTGTTACCTTAATATCACACAAAGGCTGCACTCAGGCTTCCATCCAAGCAGAATTTCATTCTATCAGCCATTAAAGGCTTCTTACATTGCTGCTCCAACGCCCATAAAGTCGAAGAAAGGCAAATTGATTCTCTCTCTCACAATCTCTGCTTTCCTGATTGTTGCTGATTCTGTTGCATATGCCTTAATGCCCTCTTTCTGCCGGGTAGAAAGAAGTAAGCCATGAACAGTACTCCTGTTGGTGGCAATGGAGAGAGAATCTTCTCCAGTGCTTGTAATGGTTGATTCTCCACTGATTGTATTGCGCTCCATTTTATGGAGGTGCGAAGGATTCAAAGAAGCAGAAGAAGTGAGCCTTCTCCTTCTACAGGAGGTGGAGTGATCTCTCTTTTTTCTAGCCATTATCACATGCCAGTGATTCTTCACAGCATTATCAGTCCTCCCCGGGAAGAACCTCGCAATCAGAGACCACTTGTTGCCGTAATGATGGTGGACTGAGACAAGTCTCTCCTCCTCCTCCGATGTGAAGGCCTTTCTGTTTATTCTCGGATTCAACTGATTGAACCATCTTAGCCTACAGCTCTTCCCTGCTCCACATCAAGGAAGTTCATAAAATGGAGAAAAGAACAAAAAAGTGATCTTTCATCATTACCTGATCTTCCTTCAAGATTTTCAGCAATAAGGTTCCAGTTCTTGGGGCCGAACTGCGTCACTAGCTCTTTAAGCTTGGCATCTTCGGCTGGCCTCCAATGGCCGCGAGTGCACAGTTTGAACCGCTTCGTCCCCGGATCTCTGCTTTCCTTGGAACCATCACTCAGTTGCAAATCATCATGGCCGGCACTAAAAGTCCAGCTTTTTTTACTTCTAATGAACTCTCTCTCCAAAGGACAAACAGCGGATGTGAGAAAGGAAGGTTGCTGCTGTGGAGAAGACAAGAACAGCATTGGAGCTTCAGATCTCTGCTGCCGTGGACTCATTGCTCTGCCTGAGCTACAAAAGTCTGGATCAAAAGTTTGAATCTTTCAATACATAAGCTTTTGTTTATGAAGGAAAATATGAAGAGGCAGATTACAGAGAGGAGTAAAGAAGAAAAATGACTGGAGAACTTCGGCGGAAGAAACCAACCAGGGAAGTAAATAAAGGAATAAAGCAAGCGGCTTCCAGTAAAAGAAACCCACACGTTCCTCTTGCCTTCCTCTTCCCCAACCTCTCTCTCTCTCTCTTTTCCGGAATTTGCTTACTTTGAGAAGAGCGTGTGACAGAGCATTGGGCTTCGCATGGTTATTTGAAAACTGAAACCGCTCGTGTGGGTTGTGAGTGCTTTCCTCTAAAAATAACAGAGCTGCTGCCTCCCTAAGCCCTGCCTCTCTAGGTCTTGACAAAGGGAAATTAAATATTATAGTTAATTCCTTCCCTCACACCCACCGACCATGCCACCTTTTCTCTTTTGACCAACTGACCAGCGCAAGGTCAGGATTAATTAGAAAAATTAGATTTACAAATATGCCACTCTTTTTTTTTTCATTATGTATTTATCAAATTCGAGATTGAGGCCCTATTGGGGGTAGCTTAATGGGTGCGGCGGTATTTTGAAAATGCAGCCGCTCTGTTTGAATATCACATTTGGGGCAGCGTTTGTGGTGTCTATCCGAAACACAATTCACCGGTAATAGGTGTGTAGCAGGAAATGAGCCGCGTCCCGCATCTGTTTATCGCGTTTAGGGTAAGAATTCCGGCGGTGCCTTCTCCCTCATCCTCGCCCATCGGATCTCTCCTCTGCTCCTTCACTGTCTCGGAGATCGGCACATATGAGATATATTTTCGACCTCACACTCTCACCCTACTCGATCTTTCTTCTCCTCATTTTGAGTTGGTGAACAGTGAGGTTCAAGGTTTAAAATTTGACTTGGTGTTCAACCGAATGATCTACTAATTATAAATTAATTTAAATAAGATAAAAATGATGTAATTAAAAAAAAGATAATTATGAAATATAAATCAAATATCTCAATATTTAAATAATCAATATCATTCTAATTTTGGTATGTTAATTTAAAAGTTAATGGTAACTAATTAATAAAAAAAATAAATTTAAGACATAAGATTCATACTATAATAACTTTTAAAAAGTAATGGGGGCATTTGCCTACATACCACCCTTGTTTTATATAATTACATATCTAACACCTATTCTTTGTATTTTACATTGATACCACCCAAATCATTCAGATTACATCAAAAGTATTTAATTTTAAAAAACTGAAATTTTACTTTTCATTCACAAGTAAGGTGGTGTGTTTGTAAAGATTAAAGTTTAGGTGTTAGATATGTAAATAGATAACAAAAGAGTGGTAATAGTAAATATTCAAAAATTTTATATTATATAGAAATTAAATATTGTAACCTATTATTCAAATTAATATAGCGTTAATATATATTTATATATCAACATTACTATAGATATATGTATATATATATATATATATATAGCTATATATATTTGGCTATTTGTATTTCAAGATTTTCTAAATTATAAAAGAAAATAATACAAAAAAGCATAAACTTTGTGCAGGCAAATAAGGGCAAAAGAAACATATTTATTAAATTATTTTAGCTTTCATAGTTTAGTCCTGCAACTTTAAATCCTTAGTTACATTTTTGTCATCTTATTTTAGGCTTATAGAATTACTTTAAAATAAATTATTAAAATTTGTTATAGTCGGTTTAGACGTCAAACCGACCGGTTTTTGCCGGTTCCATGCCGATTCAATCCGGTTCGAAACAGGGGTGATTACTAAGCCAACCCAAACCAGACACCCGAGTGCTCTAGACTGAACTGATCGAACCAGCCGATTCGGTCCTGTTTTCCAAACCATGGTATTTATATATCTAACACCTAAACTTAAATTTTTATATATTTGCCACCTTAATTATGCGTAAGAAGATTTGTCATGTGATATAAAAAAAATTGAGTTTTATGAACATAAAAATAAATATAAGTGTATAATAAGGTAAGTAAATAGGAAATCATTGTGGTGCATGCAAATCCCAAGGGAAGCAAATTTAATTCTTGAATTTATTTTGTAATTAATATAATTAATTAAAATTTAGATTAGATTAATCTTAAAATAATATTATAATAATAGAATTAATCATCAAGATAAAATTTTTAGTTGAAATTCCATGAAAATCTGATGATTTGGGCCCAAACTTTTAAAATAGATCATATTAGAAATAAACAATTAAATAACCAAATGCCAAAATTAGGCTATTCATTTTTATTATCTTTTTTAAATTAGGCTATTCATTTATTATAACAAAACAATTAAAACTAATTAAAAAAAAACTTAGTTTTATATTCGTGCCAACATACAAAGCAATTAATGCATGATTATGTAATCAAGACATGTGCTTGGATTTAATTAAAACCCTAATATTTGTCGTGTGCTAATTGAGGGCTTGAGGCTCATCATTTATTTGCTCACATAATGCCAGTTTGTCTATTAAATCACTTAATTCTTAGTTAATTTTATGAAACAATTTGGATTAATGATTTACAAATAAATATGGCGTGTTACAACATACATAGCAATTAATGAATGATTATGTAATCATATATGCAATTTTACTCATGCATGAAATAGTATATTTTACTTCTTAAATATTCAAATTGAGGTATTTTTCACGTGATGTGCAAGATTTGAATATTTTTTTTTATAAGAATAGAGCTTTATATGCATATATGTCATCTTTTTTTAATATTATATGTAAACCACATAACATAACATATAGATGCTATCACGTGACTGACACGTTTTAGGAGTTACGTGCAAAAGTGCCGAAGTACATAGTAGTGTATTCTTTTTCCTAAGTTCAAAGCTATTGGAACGTGCATCTAACATAAAGGTATGTCTAACATCCAAACTTTATATTTATATCATTCAGATGTTTCATAACGCATACATAATATCACTATTTTAACTTTTAAATATGTAACAAAAAAAATTAAGATGTAATTTACACTTGATAAGCTTTCTTCTTTTATGTGCATGAGAGTCAAAATCAGGCAAACATTATATTCTAGCTAGTTGTCTTCAGAACTTGTTGACTGCGTTCTGTGAAATGGCCTCAAAATGAATTCAATGCACTCTTGAATGCAGGCTGATTGGTCGTACAATTTTGCTGTTTTTCTTGTTTCGCATGACCTCGTTTGTTTTCTTTTTTGATAGCGAGTTTTACTGGCCGCACATCATATTAAGTGGGGCCCACTTTATTGCATTTATTAAGTTTAAAAACATTATATAAATTGGCTGCAAATAAAATTGATGGGAGATAAATGTATTAGAAATTTAATTATTTTTAAATTTTAATTTAGATAGATTTTGAATCAGCTTGAATTTGACGAATTCTAAATACATAACCATCTTTAATCAGAATCGTGGTCCACACAATCTTGAGGTTGTTATTGCTGATCATGCCTTGCTATGGTTGTTGCTCATGACCTTTGAACCTTCATAACTAGCAAACAATTTGATGTACGCTAGCACCTTAATATGAAGGAAATAATTCTATTGCCATCACCACCCCCATCACGTGATTTCCATAATCTACAACCATACCACATCATTTGCCCAAGCCCAACCTCTTTTGTGTGAGCGCGACAGCGAGGGAGCGAGAGAGAGAGAGAGAGAGAGAGAGAGAGAGAGAGAGAGAGAGAGTGCATTTAAAATGTAGCATAATAAATAAAAAATTCACCACACTTTGTTTAATTCAATGAAAATTTTGAAATTCAAATATATCATCTTATTTTTCTTTACTTTATGATATAAGATATTTTAAATACTTCTAATTAATCAAGTAGACCCTATGAAGTGAAATGCCTGAAAATTGTTTTATGAGATATAACTTATGATTTTTGTCATGAATGGATAGCAAAATATCAGTCAAAAGAAAATTTTGAATTGGTACATTGATATCAATTGAAGCATTTCTGTCAAATAGTTGACTCTATTTGAATCAATATGGACAAAAAATAAATGGCTTGTAAGAACATGCACATATAATTTATACAAATGGAGTTAGTATGACACTAAGAAAAGAGCAAATTAACTTGATTTAAATCATTTAAAAAAATATTGAAACAATTTAAGCATCAACAATACAAGTTGAAATTTGATAGAAAAATTCAAACTACTCTTTTGATTTGGATCCTAATTTGGAGTAGGTTGATTAGATTGTTTTGATTGAATTAGAGTAAAATTTTCATCTTAGTTTATTTTTGTTTAAATTGAATAAAAAAATAAAAAGAGATTTTATAGGTTGTAAACATAAGGCAAGAATTATTTTAATTATTAAGGGAGAGCATTCTTTGTCACGTTGTCTTAGTCTTGTGGCATGACTTGTTGTAGGTCATGCCTTCCTTATCATGACACTACCATTCACATCGAGTGAATGGTAAAGATTAGACTATGTTGAAAGAGGTTTCATATAACACATGAGGGGAGGATGATGTCCATAAGGAGAACATATGGGGTAAGTTTTTTATCTGAGAAAGCAATCAATCATGCCTAAATAAAGGGTTAGGGGACAAAGATAAGATGACAAATTGACAATTTTAGAAATGAAAAAAGAGAAAGGAGGAAAAATGATACAAAAAGATGAGAGCTTTACATAGTTTGTCTTTGTAACATACATTAATGATGTCGTTAGGGGATTCTTTTAATAAGAAAAAAACAAATAATACATTTTACATGAAAGATCAATGCCATCTTATTAAATGGAAAACAGTGATTGATATGCAAAGAAGAGGAGCTAATTTCATGGTTACATGATTTAACTCTAAATAGTTGCATAATGATCTATAAATTTCTTTGCTTTAAAAATTTATGTGGGGGGGGGGGGGGGGGGGGGGGATAAATTTGTATGAATACTAGAAACCCTAAGATAAAACCCCCAACGGTTGGACTGGTTAACACAAATTAATTGAGAAGGATACATGTGAATTTTGTTGTTAAGATGTGATCAAATGATAATAATTTCTTTATTAATAATGACTTTACAAATTTAAGGAGATGATCCTGAGATAATGAATGACAAAAGTCTTGCTATTGAATGAAATGTTTAGGGGACCCATCAACAAATAAATCAATTATAATCCTTAAGAAATGTTAACATTATTTTTTGCAAAATCTTACCTACAAATAGATAACACTATTATTGTCATAAAATTTAACTGTTGCTTGCTTAACCATGCTATTCATGAGGGGGCTTATTAAGAATGCTCTTGAAAGCTCTGTAAATATTCCTCTTCACCACTTGTCATGTAATGTCTCTTCAATATCTTTTCTCTAAAG